CACATACTTAGTGACTCCAAAAGAGAATTTGGCTGGAAAGTTCTGACGCATTGTATAGCCCTGACCTTGCACTGTTAAATTATCATTTGTATCGATTTCTACAGAAATTCTTAATAACGTAAAACTGAATTCGGAAGAGGCAAAAATTGCTGCAGCTTTTCAGCCAGAAATCTTACAAGTTCTACGAGGATGAAATTATAGCTTTACGAGAAAAATGGTAAAAGATCATCGATCAAGACGAAGAATAAAGTTCATTCAAAATATAAGAAAAGTTTGACTACCAAAGGCTCGATACTTTTTCTCCAAGCCAATGCACAGCATTTTTACGAATCGTGTTAAGTATTATTAAGTTGTTTTATGTTGATCTTAATTAATCGAGAACTTTTTTAAAGCTTCCTTCCGCGATCGTCGATTTTATTAATCTAGAATCCAGCAATTAAGCAGCCATGCGTCTCCATTGCGCTTCTTATGATAATTAAAGAATGGATAAAATGTTGAAATCTAACCATCAATGTGCGTGCATTAGGGATCCATATTCATGAGCTGCAAGAAGTTGTGCAACTAACGACTCGTTAGCTCTTTCAAGTGATAATTTATTTATTTTTCTAGAGCGGCGCCTGGCCGAGCGGATCTAAACGCGGCCGGCCTCGGCGAAGCTCCGTTCGCTGCTGATTCCTGCCTGCTAATTACGGAAAAATTATGGATCGGTGGAAAGTCATTAGCGTTTCCCGCGTGTTCAGTTTCCTTATCTCTTTCGTCTTACGAGGCTTTCAGATATGAACTCCGTCGATAGGGCAATACAGACTTTATCCAGATTTGAATACAATTTAAAATAATATCAAGTATTCATTCCCAAATGTATTCTGTTAAAGATTCTCGAACTCGTCGTGACTACGCAGTAAAATTAGAGTGTATGAAATCCAAATTTTTAAGTAAAATAAATCTACACTTTTAACAAAGGGTACGATTCTTTGAAAAGAATTTCCTAGAGCGGAGTGAAAATGCAAAGTTGTATGAAGGTGGCATTTAAACAAATCAGAGCAGTGTCATGAGAACAACCGCGGGATTTCGTTAAGAGAAATGTGTATGTATATCAGATGCCAGACAAAGAACCAGATCCAAAAGGCCGCGTTGCAGCCGTTAAATGCGAAAGTCTTAAACGCGACGCGTTATTCCCCACTTCCTTTCCTTTTTCTCGCGTAAAGAGGCAAAATCTGAGTCGGCGTTTCGCCTCACGTATCTGGCTGTTTGTCACAAAAGGGTCCCAAGCCGGAGGCGCGCGCGCGCGCGTTCAGGGCCGTGAAAAAGGGTAACGAAAAAAGAAAGGAGACGCAGCAAGGAGGTTGACGCTTGTGTACGGACAAACGAACGAACGGACTGTGTCGACTTTTATGATGGATGTAATTAAAACTTTTAGAACGACGTACTAAAATACGAAATAAAAAGATACTCGCGCCCGCTTTGCCGCTCATTTTTGCGTCAAGGCATCCGCGATAAGTGACACACGCATACGTACGGACAGTTTTTCGCGACGCGAACCGCGCTGTTTGTTCGCCTATGCCTCGAAGCTGCAAGGCGTTCAACGTGCAAGAGACACTATAATTATGGCGATAATGACCGTGAACGGGAGACAGAGTCGTGCACGGTCTGTCCCCAGTTCTCGCTTCAAAGGTATGGCCACGGGCTACGATACTCGGTGACAATTTGCAACGTTTTATGAAGAACCGACTTTGGGAAAAGTTCGCTGATATGAAAGGATAATGATTGTAATAATACACGATCACATGTTCTATGCTCCGTACTAGAGAAGAAAATCAAGATCCACTTCTCTTATGTTTACGGTAAAAGTATTGTAGATTCACGGATATTGCAGTTTCACCGAAATAAAGTCAGATTGGTGAATTCATAAAATTTGCAAACTGGTCGCCGGATAAACGGCGTGCACCTGACGACAGATTTTCGAATAAATTCAAGGGCCCCGGTTATTAAAACCAACAACAGCGACAGTGTCGACTGCGTTTGCGGTTATCGATGTCGCTCGTGTTGGTTATCTCGAGAAAGTTAAATACATGCACCGGAGGTGCGTTGGCTTCTTTAACGTTTACGTAGGTAATCCTATCTTGCGTACAGGCCCGGCGATAAATCATCGAAGATGTAATTTGCCTGTGATAAATCGTCGGGGAAAAAGTCGTTAAGGTTATGCACGGGAGTAAAGTTGCCATCGTTAATATTAAAGTGGAATAGATAATATCGATGATAAATCATTAATTCGCTCACCTCATCTCGTCGCGTTTCGTCTTGTCTCGCACGCGGAGGAAGACAAAGGTCGACGAAACGAAAAAAAAAGGAAAGAAAAAAGGGAAAAAATGGTGTTAAGCCAGTTAATTAATTCGGTTTGCGTTCAACGTAGTTTCTAATTCTCACGCTTAATCGCGCGTCTACGTATGTAAATAGAAACACAAAAATACTGGAGTTTCTCTTGTCGCAATAGAACAAATTATCTTTCTTGATCGCGTTTGTCAATGCTTCGCCATTAAAAATTAATCTAAGTTGATCTT